TTGTCAACTTGTTCACTTCGGATTGTTTCTGTTTGTACGTCTTGTAACCTTCTTCTGCTGTTAAGAAAACTAGCTTCAAAAATATAGAAACCAAAGCTAAAAAAAGTCAGATCTAATTTTATAGCTCGAGCATAATTATTTTTGGCTCCTACGGTCATATTTTTTGTACTGAAAAGGTTACTTATTTTTTTGCTGGATAGTTTGACTGTTGTTTGAAAGACAAATCCGAAAAATTATGATTGGGTTATAAAGCTTTTAAAACAGACGAAAACTTAGCTAATAAACATGTTCAATGTAAAAAACTAAGATTTAGACGCTTTTTCAACTTTGCTTTGTGGGCCGAAAAATTTACCTTTACGCAAAAACAAAAGCAAACAATGAGGCTTTTATTCGACATATTTTCTGAGAATTTTATCTGATCAATTTAATGTCACTAGCATTGTTTTCGTATAGGAATTTTCCTAATTATATGAGCTTTTAATTAAATAATTTTGATACTTTATAAACTTCTCATTTGATAGCTTCACTTTTTTTATACACCGATTGAGAAACAAATTCGCTCTCGTTAAATCCTATTTTATGACCTATTTATTAGAGCTCTAGGTAACATGTGAAATGATGTAACAGTCCTAATGTATTTTTTCTTCACAACCCCTAATCAGTTGACGGGCCATGAGAGAATATCGCCACAAAGATGCGAAAAAGTTTTCGCTGAGTTTCCTTTACATATTTCGCCTTTATATGGGTCTACACCTTACCTGCTTAAAAATGAAACTGCTGTTCAAGTGTCAGTCAAACTCGGGATAATTTTGACTTGCAAACCCAAATGCAAAGGTTTATTTCGCAGTAGAAAAGCGTGTAAACATCATCGAACAACGCAATGTAAATTGGCTAATGTGAAACCACGTTTCTTTCACTTTATTTACCATGCATTTATCTCAATTGCACACTCTTGTGAAATTAGCCTCACACAATTAGTTGCGACCTTTCACAGACTCAACAAGCTAGTATGAAAATATGTTAGGAGAAGCTGAGCTCGACATGTTCTATTTCTTTTTTTCATATTGCCCTTGCATGTGTTAACATTCCATTTCTTTTTTGTTACAGGTAACTTCCAGACATGACGAGGAGATAATTACTTTTGTAGAGAGCAATTTTTTGATACTGTCAGTTATTACTGACTTACTTTGAGTTAAAAACAAAGAACACAGACACTGGTAATGACAAATAAACAATAATCCCTGGCAAGCCTGCAAAACAAGAAAGAGGAACTCAGACTCCTTATGAAAATGTGAAACAAGATAAAAACAGCTTTTCTAACGTAGGGAAAATTGCGTTAGAGAGATTTGTAATTGCAACGTTATATTCAAGCACATTGCATTGTCAAACATCATAATTTACTGAATAATGGACAGTGATTTTGGGGCTTAGCTCAGTTTGTAATGAACTTTGAGAGATATTCTATAACCTTGTATTTTTAAAAGCTTTCATGGAACATAGATGCATTTTATTATACGATGAAAATAGTCTCTGTCTCTCTTTTTACTAATTTCAGTCAGTTCCATTTTATTCGCAATGTGAAATGGGAATCCTATTAAAGACTCATTAAAAGGGGTGAGGAGTTTTTACAATCCCCCAACAAGTCATCTCCACGATGACGCTGTTTTGTTACCACGGCAGAATCCCTCAGGGTTTTACTTTCTTGTGAAAATTAGAGCTTTTGTTATTTTAACTTCCCTGGGACAACCAAATCTATGAAAATGAAAGGAATAGCAATGACTTCACCGTGTAAATGACCTATAAACCGTACATCAAAAGATAAGCACGGTGATCTGTTTAGTATTTTTTTTTTAGCCAGGCTTAAAATATCTGTAGATTCAAGGAATTATAACCTGTACGTTGAGAGCATGCCAGAGACCGATTTTGGCATGCCCGGCATGGCCCAGATTATGGCACGCCCAGCATGTCAGAGAATTTGGCATGCCAGAAAATTTGGCATGCCCGGCATGCCATAGATTTTGGCATGCTTGGCATGCTGGGTATGAATTACTTATTACTAGAACCTAGGCTTCTCGCGGCGCGGGTGAGAAGGTCACGGAACCTCAAATTATGCTTACAGGGCATGCGAAATTCTGTTGCATGCCAATTTCAATGCAAAACCACTCTGGGGCCACCCCCTCTATTACCAGTGAGCAAATCATTGACTATAGGCATGGGAAAAATCCTTGCATGCTAACCAACATTGAAAACGTAGCAGAAATGTCCTCAGTTGCTGAGTCATGCCCTAGGGGAGGCTTTAAAGTACAGAATTTCCTTACATGGATGAGGGAATTTTCCGTAAACAGCATGTGATCATGCCGGCTAGGACGTATTGCCTCCATATTGGCCCTTTTTACAGCTAGCTAGGCTCATTTTTAGGCTCCATGGCCTGAAATGACGAAAAATTCATGCCCAAAATGTAAAAAGTCCAAAAAAGTCCCAGAAATTGTAGTTTCGAAGCCGCTATAATGCAAACATCTGGTTTCAGTATCGCCACAAATTTGATCAGTTGTTCACCGCGAACGAGCAAATTATTCTCATAAACAAATTTCTAATACTTTCACCATTAAAAGGGCATAATATCATGCGATAAAATTATTTTTTAGCATATGTGACGGCCTTCTCGGTCGCCATACTAAGTCACGCGGAATCAAACTTGGGAAATTAGAAAAAGCTATATTTCCAAAACGGAAAACGCCATTCATCCCCAGTTGAAAACTTGCACAGAAGTTTCTTTTAAAGAGATCATTTGCTAGATGGAGATAAAACCTTAAAAGTTCTTGCGATTTTGGAGTTTGGATTTTTGTGACGTTACTTTTCATAAGAATAGCCCAGCAAGCTGTTCTTCTGTAACAGATATGTTCTTTACCAAATAGAACCTAAAGCCTCGTTACTACGACTAGACTATCACATGAAACTTTATCCGTATACATCTAAAGAATTTTACTGACTATTTCATGATTTCATTTATTTTATTCATTAGTTTCATCCTCATGCTTCGGAGTAATAAATGCTACTTTAAGAATAGTTGAAAATAATCAATTGTATATTTCATTTCATTTTATTTTCTTGTTCTTCCTTCTGTCTCTTTTTAAAAGTTATTTTAATTAATTGACAAATCAAAAATATACAAAATTATAAGTGGCGTTTTCAACACTACAACACTTTGTTTACATACCGTATAGCAGTTTGTAATTATGCAACTTAGATTGTCGTTGTTTTTTAATTCAAAATGTAACAATTTTAAATTTCTGTTAGACTTGTCCTTCTTTCAAAATATATTTATTTATTTACTGGTACCTAACACTTGATGTAATTGCGGAAGCGTGGTGGCCTAGCTGTTAACACCTCGAACTTTGGGTTTTTAGGTTGGGCCATTTAAGCCTCATCGTCGTACCGCGTATTGTTTTCCGTTAGGGAAGAAGAATCTTTTCTCCACTTTGTCGCTCTTGGTCAGCCAGGTATGTTAAAATGAGAACCGGAGACATACTGCTGGGGAACCGGACCCTATGAGTAACATGTATCCCATCCGTTGGGTGAGACAAACTCCTATTTCATGCCACTGACTAAGAATAAGCAATTAACCATTTTCACATACACCTTAATGCACCTTGTTTTCTCCCCATTTTGTATAAGTATTGTCTTCGATTTCTCTTGACATGACTGTAATACCCAGGAGAAATTAAAAACAATGCTTATGCAAAATGTTTGGGGATAAAACAAGGTGCATTATTGTCTAGGTAAAAAAAAGTGAATGCCGGCGCAGTTATCACTGGAGATTTACATGGAGTGGGGGACCTCGGTATAGTGGGGTAGGTTTCTTTTGTTTTGTGTCCTCCAGAGCGTGAAAACAAAAGAAACCAACCCCACTAGACCGGGGTCCCCCACTCCATGTAAACAGACCCTAAGATATAAAACGACTCACTAATTATATTAACAATGCAAAACTGCGTTAAAGTTACGATAGGGACGAATATTAGCACTGCTTGCTGTAAAATGCATTTCAAATTGGCTTATTTTATTCTTTCTTTTTTTTTTTTCCTGTTTGGTACATTGAGCTGGCAGATACAACTTTAATTGTACACTTTTGGTATTGGCTATTGTCCATATCAAACTTGGCATAACCAATTGTGCCTGTCTTATTTTGTCTGTTGAAAACCGCCACAGCCAAGAGCTGGCTGAAACTTGATCAATGTTAGCCAGTTCTTTAACTCAAAGTACCTGTTGTCCAATTAAATTTTAGCCATTTGCTTTAGAAATACAAAGAGAAGCAAATTTCGTGGATTAGTAGGTACAGAGCACCTCACAAATATTTTGTTATCTTTAATTTTCTCACAGAGTATAATCCAAATTGATTATAATAGCATTGTTCTAAAACATAATTTTATTCTGTATTCACCATAGCTGATTAATAATTCAAAGTGTCACGTTCTTTTCAAGCTTCAGGGTGTTTTGACTTGTGAATTTGTTGTGGTTGATTTCTTTGCAGTACAACGGCCAAATATAAAACTACGGTGAAAGCTTGCTCTCGCTTGCCCATCCTTTTCTTTATTAACAAGATGGGATGTAATTTTAAAATCTTATCCCTAAAAGAGTTTTTGCTCCCTTATAAACTGCACATAAAAAAATATGTTTCAACCCGCAGAGAGTTTAATTGAAGAATTTTTGGTCTTCGTAATAATTAGTTCTTGCAAATTATAAAGTCAAAATATGCTCATTAGGATGCATATTAGAAAACATGATATAACATTTTTATTTCATATTAGTCACTGAACTAAGCTGATGACCGTCGTTTTCGCACTAGTTATTGAAAAAACTAAAGTGGATCTAAGAATCGGCAGAGAAACAACCAGCATAAATAGTAAACACTCGGTTATCTCATGCAAAATGTATCCAGCGTAGATGTTCAGAAGATTTGATTCTTCAAAAGGCTTTCGCTATGGTTTTCTCTACGATCATATTTTCCTGCGGCGAGAAGTCAAAATTTGTTTTCAAACTCGATCAGTGACACATCACAACAGGCATGCATGTAAGTAAAAATACAACTAGTTTAAGATATAATTTCTTTCCCATAATGATATTTCAAACCTCCAAAGCTGCAGATATTGCTTTTATCAGTCATAGGGCTTTTTAACATAAAACTGATCTATCTATAGCATGTTTCAATCTGGTAGGGTAATTTTGTTTAATTTTCCCAGAATCAGCAAAGAGTTTATATTAGAGTTTTAACTTTCGGTTTGAACCCTGCGCCAGCATAAAACTGAATAATATAATGTCGAAAAAATCGGCTAAATTATATCACATTGGCTTTCTCCTTTTTATAAGTCCATGCGTTGAACCGATTACTCCGATAGATCTTTAAAATCCGGCGAAACACGTACGTCAAATCGTTGTTTTTGTTCAAATATAATTGAAATTCAACAGGTTTAGTTACTTGAAAGGAACAGACAAATCGCAATTGGATGTTAATTTGGTATTACAACTGAACTTAATAAAGCCATATATTGTTACATAAAATGTTGCGTGATATTTGAAAAGAAAGCCAGAAAGATTTTTTAATGAAAATATATGAAACTGGAATTTTTTATTCAAACTCTGTCCAAGTGACCACCTTTGGTGCACATGACAAAGTGGTCGCTTACCGGAGGCGGTAGCTTACGAGAAGTGTTCGCTATGAGCCGGAGTTGTATTTTTTCCCAGCGATCATAATAATCAAATGCTGCAAATAGGCTCTGGATGAGTACAGTTGACTCCCGATAACTCGAACCCTCGCTTGTAAACTCGAACCTCCCGCTAACTCGGCCCAAAATCGATTTTCCCTGGATTTCCTTCATACATTTAATGTAATTTTGCCCTCGGTAACTCGAACCTCCCGCTAACTCGAAGTAATTTTTTGTTTCCCCTCAGATCATTTCTATATAAATTTACCCTCGATAACTCGAACCATGTTTTGAGCGCTTAAAAAAGTAAGAAAAAAAAACAGGGTACCTTCGTCCGAAACGTTGAGTTTGAATTTCCCTTTCAGTGTTGTAGGCATATAGTTTCACTAGTGGAAGCTGAGGTTGTTTGTCACAAATCTAACATGAAACAGCTTTTAATACTATTCAGAACAGTAAAACGCATGCTCTATTTAGGCTATGTTTTTTACGTTAGATTCTGACTGATTTATAATCTAGAAGTATCTTTCAATTTCACTTAACGTTTCTACAATTAAATGTGGTTAAAATGTTCACTGTACAGTAAAAACTGGTTTTTCCCTCATTCCGGCTTCTTGCTTTGAGCGCCCGATAACTTGAACTTTTTTCGATTTCCCTTGAAGGTTCGAGTTATCGGGAGTTAACTGTACAACTGTATACCAACACAACATAATAAACATTTGTTGCCATGATCAGGATAATATACATTTGCCAGTAAGAAATCCGCACTTAGTTGCATAAACTAGCACCAGAGCAAGAGGCAGGGGCACCCAACGTCAATTTTCGGAAAATATCTGTTCGGAAGACGATTTGAGATCTAGAATTTTCGGAACATTTTTGTAAAATTTCTTGCTTGCCTACCTCTCCTAGGATTTCCGAACATCTAAAAAATTGTATAATGCCCCATTTTTAAGGGATTTTTATCCTAAAAAGGTCACCTAGAATTTTCGGGAGCCTTTTTTCTGGCTCAAAGTTTCGAAATGGTAAGTTTTGATCCCTACAATTTTCGGATCACTAGACTTTCAGCTAGGAAATTCGAACAGATAAAAAATTTTTAGGGGATAAAAATATACCTATATATCCCTATCCCCTGAAGAGGGGATAGTTGAGTTGTAAGCTATTTGGGTCTTAGATTACTTCACATATGATGGAATGATGGCATAAGTTAATTCGTTAGTTAAAGGTTTTACTATTTCATCTTTTGTCCTGTTACCATACAACCAGAGGACGCTTTGTCTATGTACAAAGAAAATAATATTTTTATTTTTTTCTGTCCTTTTGCTGCCGTTGATTTGTTAAAAATTCCAATAAAATTATCGTAATAAATCATAAAACATTCAGTGTCGACAAGTGCCATAATATTATGACCTCTTGGTGTCGATCGTTCAAGATATTGAGAAAAATACAACGCCAAAGCAAACAGTGTTCAAAAATGATGTATTTCTGGTAAACCGGTTCTTTGAAGGTTTTTTTGTTCGAGTCTTTTTTTTACACACACTACTTACTCGAAAATACGATTAACACGAAAGGGAAAGCCTGGGCACACTGTAAATTCAAATTGTTCCCTTCAGATATTTTTCTCGTCTTATGCCGGGGATTCGTTTTACAACACGAGGTTCTTCTGTTTATACTTTATTTTGCTCCTGACAGATAAGGTCGTGAATTCAATCAGTGCTAAAACAAGTTTACTTCATATACAGTTATTTCTAGACTAGAAAGAGACAAACCAGTTTGGTATATAGCAAGAGTTTCTTCAATTGAATGAGGGCGTTTAACGACGGTTCTTGACTTAAAACCTGCTGGTTTAGTTTATTTCTTCGGCCTAGCTGTGCAATTCGCTGAAGTCCTTTATCTTCTTGACTATAGTGTCATTTATAGTGTGAAAACAGGTTTTGCCTTCACAAAAGGGTAAACTGACGAACGAGGGAAAAATCTAAAACTCTCTGGGAAAGGCCTTTTCCTGGGGACACTCGCTGGCTGCGGGAAGGTACGGAATCTCTTACGCCTGCTGAATACCCTTGAGACAATGATCACAACAGAGACTATACTGCGGGTACAGTCACAAACATAACCAAAGAAAATCTTACAAAACATCGGTGTAAATACTCTAAGTTAATGACGCGATACAGATTAGGTCATGTACTAGTTTTGAAGACTAAATATAATTATGACTTGACAAATAAGTTCCCGCTCAATAAATCAACAGTTTGTTTACGGCTTAAAGAAGTTAAGACTAAAGAATAAATGATTTCTACATTGGTTTTTCATATTTTTATCAGCGAAAGCAAAATAACTGAATAACAATAAATTATCTCTTCACAATAGTCATTTAGTGATATTGGAAGAGATCGCCTTGGAAACAAGATTGCCAAACAGGCACCCCTTTATTCAATGTATTATGAAGTGCTTTCAAACAAAGGAAAAAACTAATCGTGATATTAAGTAACAACAATTGAACAAAACAATGGAATATACTTTGAAAGTCAAATAAGTTTGCTTGGGTTGACAACAAGATTGAGTCATAAGCCATAAAGCAAATAAATTAACCCTTTCGTTCTTACAGGTAAGAAGAGTTTTATATTACGCCATATACAAATATGCACAGAAATATGCACAGTAAATGCATAGTTCAGTTGATTTAAAAATATGCCATTATTGATAGCGTAATGGCACACACATTACTTAGTGTGTTAACCGTTTTACTTGACCGAGCAACACTGAACTATAATCATAAGACTTTTAGCCGTCAAGAACTAACTCGTGTCGACGAGCTCACTTGTTCTCAAAATGCGCTTTGGTAGAATAAACAAACAAAAACAATTACAAATATATCAAGTGTTCTCTTTGTGGGGATGTCTAGACAAAGGCCAATATATTGTTAAATCGATTTTTTAAAGTTCAAGCCAAAGCAGAATAGCAGAGTTTCATTCCACTAATTGAATCTCTGATGAGTGCGCAACAGGAGAAAACTTAGTCTGTTTAGCGTTTATTCTGAGCAATCTTCAGCCGTTTTCTTTCGTTAAAACTTCAGAAACTTAAAAAAAACTGCTTTTATAAAAAGGAATAACTGCTGAATAGTTCGCCATATTAGCATCTTGAAACATGGTTGAACAGTCAAGAATTGATGACGCAGACGCCTTTTTCCATTTGGCTTGTACTTTGAACCGCACATGCAACTGGTTACATGCACTTTACCAACCATGACAAACGCGGTGATATAGTTTTGCGCCTTTAAAAAACAAAGATTTAATTGCATTTACCGTCGCACGGAACACACTTTGACCGGTGATCCTGGTATCATGCATTGCGCGCGCAACATGCCGATCAGTCAGCTAACATATCTGTAGGCTGCGCTAATTTCCAAAATTAATTGCAGGCTCTTTGCAAATACAGGTTGTGAGTACAGTGTAAAATAATTCAAACTAGTTTTTTTTCCTGTCCTTATTTATGAGCCAGAATTTAACCACTGGATTGCGAGTAATTGTGTTACCCCTATAAATTAAGTCTTTTAAAAATTCACGTAAGCCTCTCGCTGTTTATTGCATGTAATAAACTTATACTAAATCAGGAACTACTTCTAGAAGTTACAGCTACGCAAATAACTTTCTTTTGGAGTCAAAGATTATTTTACTGAAAGATTTGTTTCATTTTCCTTATTCAGATAGCAAATTTCCCAGGCTTTGCTAGAACAACATGAGTCGTCGAAGGCGTCTAAAGGAGGACATAGGACTTGCACCACTGTCTAAGATGTGTGAAAACTGCCCCAGATACTTGTACAGCTTCGAGACAGTAAGAGAAACCTGGATTCGCGATTGTCAGAATAAGGGCAGACAGTTCCATGAGCGAATCAAATACTACTTCAAATTCTCTCTCAACCGTCATTTGAAAGACATCATTTTTGTGATAGCCTATGGTGTAGACCATTGTGCCAGAATCTTTCTTGATTTTAAGGCTCATTGCTTTTTGAAGGAAAAAGTGGAGAAGGCCATTGAGCTAGCAGACCAACTTTCAAACGTTTCTCCAATTATGGTATCGAGGAAAACTCCTCAAATAATGAGAATTTTTACATCTTTAAAGGAATTCACCCTTTTCGCTGAACAACTTCGCAGTAAAAATCGTGCCATTTTTCGACAAAGGCATGTCAATGGAGTGTACGTGTTGGAGAGGATCAGTGACGTTATGGAATTAAAACAACCATCATTTTTAGCTTTTAGCGCGAATATCTCTGAGTATGACCCAACCCAAATATGGCAAATTGGATGTGTGGTTTTCTCACTTGAAAGTCAGAAATTTGAAGAATCATATCACTTTTGTCACAGTTCAAAAGCAGATTTCCATGTGGTAAATAAAAACAATCTACAACAAAATCAAGATCAATGCACTTCCTCAAACGAAAGCACAAAAGTTTTGATCCTCAAAGACTTTTTGTTAAAGTTTCAAAAGGATATTTCAAGAGTAGATTTTCTGGTTTCACATTCAATGTCTTTAAAGGGTGTGCAAGATTTCCTTAGAAAGCAAGGAGTGGACGCCGAGGTCAAAGAGGCAATCGACACTCTATCAATTCATTCTGCTCTGTTTTATGAGTCTAGAAAAGAAAACAGTATGGAAGAGATTCTCAAACAACTGGAAATCCCTTTCGAAAGTTGCCAACTGCAGAACGCGGCATACAACGCTGTTTACATAGCGAAGATGTTGCGAGCTCTTTTGAGTCAGGAATTTTCTATATGTCTTAGCGTATAATTACGTCATCAAAACTTTGCAAAGATCTGAGAAAGAACTTGTAGCTTAATTGTCTTGTTTTTAGGATTACCAAGATCTGGCCGTTTGTGGCCAGGGATACAGTGGCACCCGGTACGGTAAGAGTAGAGATTGGTTCCATCGCTGATCAGCTGTAAAAACTTGCTTAGTGTCTCAACCAATCGGATCGTTCTCGACAACAGAGTTATTGTCCATTAATGTATCATGCATCCAGCAACATGCAACAAAAGAGAAGGGCTCTGTCGCCTCATGCCTCATGAAAATCAGAATGCCCATGAGATCTGAATCATGACGTGCCGACATGGGCGCGTCTTTCCGTTCTAGTCGCTGGCTACATACATATTTACTCAAATTTTGTTGCTCGCACGGGCTTTTCTGTGATTAACCAGAAATTTGCTTTGATTTTAAGGCGATTATTAGCCTGTTCTAAGCTCTCAGATAGTGGGGAAGACGCGAAAGTGAAAGGCACGTGAAAAGTTTCCTCCCCCCTTTTTTTTTTTCGCGTTCGTGCCGTTTCTCAATTTAGCGGACCCGACTATCTTGGAGCCTGGAACAGGCTAAGCGCTCATTTGCATAGGAGAATAGAAATGAGGTCTTCTTGACTAGAAAATAAAGATTAGTTGCTTATTTTTGAAAGAAAGAACTCAGGGAAGCCTATTTCGGGGGGTCAGTGGAATAAGATTTATTTTCTTAAACTACCAGTTGACTGATGTTTCGCGCAGTATTTAACTCCACCATTGTTTCGGTGCTTCATTTAATAGAAAAATTTAATGACTATCTTTTTTTTCTCCAATAAACTAAGGCCAGCAATCGTTTCTACCTGTGTTTGTTCGATAATTTGCGATTTTAGCGGCTTTTTACAAGGAAAAATAAAAAATGTTCCATTTGTGCGCGTGCAACAGAGAAGTTGGTTAGCAAACTGATAATTTCCGAGGGCAGAGAGCGTGGATGAGGGCTGTTGAAATTCTCTTTATAGGCTTGTTTTCTCAGTCTGTATTTGTAAGTTACGGACAAAATTTCTTTTTTTCTCGGTTCGCGTTAAAAGGCCCGTGTTCACGCTTCGGCCAGCTTTCGTGCCCCGGCCTTAAACGTGGGGGCTTAAACCAAAACTATGATCGAGTCGTGAGTACAAACGAGAAAACAGGTATCTACCAATCTCAAGGGAAGTTGGAATCTTAAACAGGTGGCACAGCACGCCGTTCACTTCAATCGCAGGGCGTGCCCTGTAAGTTTGTATTAGTCCAAAAGCGGAACGGGGGTCAAAATTCGGTCAATTACTTTGCTGGTCAAGTTAAATTTGATAAAAGAAACTGGGTGATCATTAGCCGGCAGAGTCTTTAATCAACTTTGGGTAACTCACATGACTTGACATTCCAATACTTTCAATTCATTCAAAATATTTCTGTGTTTCTGATTATCGTTTCAAAAGCCCGTCGGCCATTTGTTCGTTACAATGTTGGCAGCGTTGACCAAATTGGGAAGATGTTTGTTATGTTCGATAAAATGACGTTAATAGCCCAGGATATTGCCAGTAAAAGGGATGGCAGTCGAGAATCCCTGGGAATGAGGTTACGTGAGCACAACTCTTTAGTTAGAGCGGGGGAAAATGATGAAAAATTTCACACGGTTTACAAAGAAGAAATAGCTGAATTTCTGCCTAAAATCATAGCAAGAACAGCAGCCTCATCCAATAATTGCAAAACAACCAAATAGGTGTTTTTTCCCCCTATTCCAAAACCTTTCAAGTATTATCAAAGACAAAGCACTTGGCAAAATTTTCCCCAGTTCACTGTACGGGTTTTTGTATTGCACTGTTCCCAATTCAAAGTGTGCCAGGACATTTGATGAATATAAACCCATATTCATCTTGGAGATTGTCCAGTAACAGTCTAACGCTGCTCATATCAACTTTGTTGGCAATTCACTGAAGTTGACAAACTGGGAAAAACTTTAAGAGTTAAAACAAAAAAGCAAAATTGCTCTTCTGTTTCTCAGTTACTGTCAGTCTTACATTCCATTGGCAAAAACTTCCATAACAACATTCAAACAGATATTCTGTATCTGGACTTTGCCAAAGCAATTGATTCTGTGGACCATGCCATCCTCCTTGAAAGGCTTGATATATATGGAGTAGCTGGACATTTACATGACTAGTTCAAGAACTATTTGGAGGACCGTCAGCAAAGAGTAGTTGTAGATGGATTCACCTCCAGTTGGGCCCCTGTAACCTCTGGAGTGCCTCAAGGAAGTCTGCTTGGCCCAGAAGTCTTTGTCATCTTTATCAACGACCTGCCAAGAGCCTCGCCTGATGGTACCCTAACAGACCTTTATGCAGACAACACCAAGCTGTATGGAAGTATCTTATCATATCTAGATGCAGATAAATTGCAGCAAGCACTAACAAACCTGTATTCCTGGAGTCTTCACAATAATATTAATTTCAATGCATCAAAGTGCAAGGTCTTAACAGTGATGCGGAAGAAAAATCCAGTGCGCTATGACTACCACCTTGGCAATGTTGACCTACAACGCGTGAATGAAGAGAAAGATCTCAGTGTCATGATAACAAGTAAATTAACGTGGGAAACTCAAGTTCTCATGGTTACTGCTAAAGCGAATAAGCTATGCGGTCTTGTTCGTCGCACCCGTCTCATGCTGACTGACGTCAAGGTCAGAAGATCCTTGCACCTGGCACTAGTGAAGTCCCAAATGAGCTATGCCGACTGAAGTGTGGTCTCCCAGCCACTCAACTTTAAAGAAGAAAGCTGAAAAAGTTCAGAGAAGAGCTACACGCTGGATTCTACAAATCAAGCAAGGTAAACTGTCCTACAAAGAGAGATTGATCCAGCTGGATCTGCTACCGCTTACCTATGACCATGACGTCAAGGATTTAGTATTTCTTTATAAGGCCTTATATGGCTATATTGACATTGATATTAGTTTTATTAAAAGTGTTAGTCATGGCCATACCCGACGATCTCAATCAAGTGATATAAAGTATTTGGAAACGCCCTTCTGTAAATCAGCTATGTATCAGTCCTCCTTTTTTAATCGCAGTATTGAATTATGGAACCAAATATGTAAATTAATTCAGCCCAGTGACTTTCTGAACATAAAGACTTTTAAGAATAGTATAACTAACTTGTACAAAGATGAATTAGCAAATGTCTTTGACCCTGATAAACCATGTTCATGGGTCTTGCACGTAATTGTGGGTGCCACTGGCAACAATAGTTTAATATGTGTTGCTTAAGATTTTTCCTGATTTAGTTGGGAGGTGCCCTGCATGCAACTCCAGGTCCCATTTGCACCTTACCTTTTGATCTCTTTTTTTTTTTTCTGTTACTGTAACTATTTATTTAGAGAGACTCAGTCCAATAAAGTTGATAAAACAAACCATAAAACAACTTCGGATCATTGTAGATGTACATATTAATGTTCTAATCCCTACAGCAATGATCATACTACCAATGCCATTTCACAAATTTTGATATGTTGTTTTCTTGAAATTTTGTTGACAATGGTAATTATAATAGAACCGTTCCAGCTCAAAAATGTTCTAGGGACAGAGTTGTGTGATTTGTAAGGTTCTTTAACTCCATGAAATTGAACAGTATTGCTCTTAA